AAAAAAAAAAAAAAAAAGCTGAAATTTTCAATAGGCAACACTTGGTCTTCAAAGCTTCTGTGTTTTTGTTATTCACTGTGTTTAAGATATGACCAATTATTTGGAATTACACTCTTCATGATCATTGTCCACATATGTGTTCTTACTGCTCTTTCCTTTTGAAGAGGGTCTGAAAGGAGGTTGGGAGTGGAGGTAGGTTGGGGCTGGGAGGGCTAGCATTCACTGAGCTCTTAGCAGAAAAAGGCACATCATTTCATTCTGGCTGCTGATTGGGATGGTAGCATCTTTCTCCCTTTATTAAATAAAGAGCAGGCTTCAGAGCTAGCTTTTTCAAGGCTATCCAACTCAAGGTGGGAGTTGGGATTTGCCACCCATAAAGCTCTTTCCTGATGTCTCCCACAAACTTATGGTTTATAAATGGTATCAGTCACATCTAGTTTTACTCAGAGCCCAGTGAAATACCACTGCGATGCTGATACACCGGTCCAGTTCTTGATTTTGAGTACTTGAATGGTGTGAAAAGCTTTTCATTGTTCACCTAGCAGTAATATAGTCCTCTCTTCCATGAACATCACCCTTTTCACCAGGCACAACAGCCTGAGTTTTCAATCACATTGAAAATTCATTTATGTACTAAATTCCTGTATGCTCTGGGCCCAAGCCCAAAGACATTTTAACTCCCAAGTTCTAAAAAGTAGATTTACAGTATCTCCTTAACTTTAACATACTTTAGTCATACACTGTGTAATGAGTAGCTCCAAGATAATAACCTACTTAATCTGCTTAATGAGCAGCTAAAGGCTACCTGCTGTCACGTACTAGGCCGTCTTTATTCTTCATATGAGCAGCACTTACAAGTATTAATTCAGTTTAAAGCAGCTATTTAAATGCAAAAACTTGTATTTAAAAAAATCTTTCCAGGTGATTCTGCTAATTTAAAAATCCCTGGTATAAGCAGCCTCTCTCTCTACTGGTAATAAAGTTTAAAAAAATTTTGTATATGCCATCACACTGTGAAGTTTATAGAGAATAATGCTTTTTCTATTGACAGGACATCAAAACATTGTGAAAATCCATGGCTGAATTCATCCATAAGGCAGTCATTAACAGGCTGATGTGAAAGATTAAAGAAAACCAACCTCCTCAACTGTGTCTGAACGTTTGAAAGATCTAAGTAAGCCTCTTAATTTCATGTCCATATGATAGGAACCTTTTGTCAGTGAGGCCCTACATTGTTTTGGGAGGTGGTCCTGAGGGGAAGAAATAGGCAGACCATATGGTACAGCTAAAACAAAAACATACAATTCATTTTATATTGAAAAGTGCAGCGGGTGAGGGTGAAGGAATAAACAATGGACATGGATGAGTTTGGTTAGAATTACTCACTTTGTAAAGTTAAAACCCAACTAATTTATGTTAATAGAACAAGCCCTTACTGGCATCAGCACCAGTGAGACAAATCTCTTACTGTGATATAAAAAAATATTTGTTACATTTAAGCTAAAAATGTTTTATTTTTAATTTTTTTTTTTTTTTGAGATGGAGTTTCGCTCTTGTTACCCAGGCTGGAGTGCAATGGCGCGATCTTGGCTCACCGCAACCTCCACCTCCTGGGTTCAGGCAATTCTCCTGCCTCAGCCTCCCGAGTAACTGGGACTACAGGCACGCACTAGCATGCCCAGCTGATTTTTTGTATTTTTAGTAGAGACGGGGTTTCACCATGTTGACCAGGATGGTCTTGATGTCTTGACCTCGTGATCCACCCGCCTTGGCCTCCCAAAGTGCTGGGATTACAGGCTTGAGCCACCGCGCCCGGCTTTTAATTTTTTTTAATAAAAAAAATTATTTTGAGACAGAGTCTTGCTCTGTTGCCCAGGCTAGAGTGCAATGGTGTGATCTCGGCTCACTGCAATCCCTGCCTCCCAGTCTCAAGTGATTCTCCTGTCTCAACCTCCCAAGTAGCTGGGACTACAGGCACACACCACAATGCCCAGCTAAGTTTTTTCTATTTTTTAGTAGAGATGGGTTTTTACCATGTTGGCCAGGTTGGTTTCAAACTCCTGACCTCAGGTGATCTGCCCGCCTTGGCCTCCCAGTGTTGGGATTACAGGTGTGAGCCACCATGCCTGGTCTGAAAACGTATTTTAAAATAAGTGACTTTTCTATCCTAATTCTACTTTATCAAAGTTACTGCAATTAGCTTTCATCTTCTTTCTTTTTTTCTTTTTTTTTTTTTTTAGAACGGGGTTTCACTCATGTTACCCAGGCTGGAGTGCAATGGCGCGATCTCGGCTCACCGCAACCTCCGCCTCCTGGGTTCAGGCAATTCTCCTGCCTCAGCCTCCTGAGTAGCTGGGATTACAGGCACGTGCCACCATGCCCAGCTGATGTTTTTTGTATTTTTAGTAGAGACGGGGTTTCACCATGTTGACCAGGATGGTCTCGATCTCTTGACCTCGTGATCCACCCGCCTCGGCCTCCCAAAGTGCTGGGATTACAGGCTTGAGCCACCGCACCTGGCCTGCTTTCATCTTCTTTCAAGTGGGAGGTGTAAGAAAATTGTTGGGATGGGGAGGGAAGTTGGCAAGCAACCTAAAGAACAGCTTATGATTAAATATCTTTGAAGGGGCTGGGTGTGGTGGCTCACACCTGTAATCCTAGCACTTTTGCAGGCTGAGGTGGGTGGATGGCTTGAGCCCACCCTAGGCATGTCAAAACCCTGTTCTACAGACAAAGAAAAAAAGAAAAAAAGATGAGTTCGTGTCCTTTGTAGGGACATGGATGAACCTGGAAACCATCATTCTCAGCAAACTGACACAAGAACAGAAAATCAAACACCGCATGGTTCTCACTCATAGGTGGGTGTTGAACAATAAGAACACATGGACACAGGGAGGGGAGCATCACACACTGGGGTCTGTGGGGGGGAAACAGGGGAGGGACAGCAGGGGGCGGGGAGTTGGGGAGGGATAACATGGGGAGAAATGCCAGATATAGGTGATGGGGAGGAAGGCAGCAAACCACACTGCCACGTGTGTACCTACGCAACAATCTTACGTGTTCTTCACATGTACCCCAAAACCTAAAATGCAATTAAAAAAAATAGCCAGGCATGGTGGCACACGCCTGTAGTCCCAGCTACTCAGGAGGCTGAGGTTGGATGATTGCTTGAGCCTGGGAAGCGGAGGCTACAATAAGCCAAAAATGACGCCACTGCACTCCAGCTTTGGTGAGAGTGAGACCTTGTCTCAAAAAATAAAAAAAAATTTAAATGGATAGTTTCCCTCTCAGATAATAATTATTTTTGTGGTTTTTATGGGAGTCATGCAAGAGGTTAAACAAGAAAACCCCAAAATAGAAATTAGAATGAACAATTTAAAAGAATTCTGGACACAGTAGGGATGCAGTGTTTAATATGTTCCAGTTATACACCTGGATTGGCCTTCATCATTCCATCCAATTTCCCAAATCTATCCCTCTATTAGGATTCTCTTTAACGCTATCTATTCTATCTAGCCTTCCTTGACCATCTAAGCCTTACACAACTCTATGAACAGGTACTACTACTAACACTTTGTAGGGAAGAAAATCAAAGCATGAGGTCAAGTAATTCACCTAATGCCATTCTGTTATGAAGTGGTAGGGCTGAGACTAGAACATGGACCATCTGATCCCAAAGCCTGCACTCCTTGATGATGCATGAAATTACTTGGATAGAATCAATTATACTAGAGATCTTCTCACATTTCCTGGGACTCAATGTTAATTCCGTTTTGTTGCTGTTGTAGAGAAAGTCTCACTCTTGTCACCCAGGCTGGAGTACAGTGGTGCAATCTCAGGCTCACTGCAACCTCTGCCTCCTGGGTTCAAGAGATTCTCCTGCCTCAGCTTCCCAAGTAGCTGGGATTACAGGAATGCACCACCACACCCAGCTGATTTTTGTATTTTTAGTAGAGACAGGGTTTCTCCATGTTGGCCAGGCTAGTCTCCAACTCCTGACCTCAGGTGATCCATCCACCTTAGCCTCCCAAAGTGCTGGGATTACAGGCATGAGCCCCTGCACCCCGCCTGAGAGTTACTTCTGATTCACATTAAGACATGTTAAGAGTCTTGGATTTATGTTGTGAATAAACAAATTTTATTAGTTCCTTGTATAGATAAAAGTCAATGACTAATTCATGCCATATACACATATTCCTGTTTCAGATTTTCTATTAGCAAACATCCTATTCAATTGTTGTTGGGAGTTTTGAGTACATTCAGAAAATGAAACCCCACAATCACTGTTTACAACAAATGAGTACATAGGAAGTTTTCTAATAAAATGAAGCTGCTTGAAAAAAACATGCATGAAAAATAAGAATGTACTCATCACTTAATAAGAATGTACTCCTTATTAAGCAATAGGCAAATCAAATTAAACAAACTCCTCAAGTGACAATGCTCGGGAGTTTTGAGTTTCCGCCCCGAACTTGAAAATAAAGGAAATCAGACAGGCCTCAACATTTTGAGATTAATAGATTCCACAGTGAATGTTAAGTTGCCTATATGAGAACAGAATTACTCCTAGCCAGTCTTCGAGGTATCTTGCTTATCAACCTACTTAAGGAATCTGTCAGGCAGAATAGGTAAACAGTAAATTATAGAAAGAAGGTGGGGCAGAGGCAAAAACGGGCTGTTCCCAAATCGACACTGCAGGGTAGAAAACGAATGTATAGTATTAGGCCGAAAATCGTTTGAGCTTTTCAGTCCCACTGGCAGGATTTATTAAAAAGAGATGTTCCAGCGAAATTTAAAATAAAACCTTTGATTTTGGTTCCATATATGTCAGCTTACAGCAATTAGATGGCTCACTTATTTGTTATTATCAGAATGTGATCCTCAAATTAACACATTAGTATCATAGCTTGGTATCCAAGGCCAGAGAATGTGCTGCTTTTCCAATGCAGAAATCCCTGTCTAAATAAGCCCATCTTGGGGCACATGAGATTAGCACCTGTTATCCTGTGAACTCACTTAATTCAAGTGTGAGATTTTTTGATCCCCCATCTGGGTAGTCATCGAATCCTACTGCCTCCCAAGAAAGTCTCTGAAGCAGAAATCAGGAGAAATAATCAATGATTCTTCCTAACAAGAGCCTCCAAATATTCTCAGCAAAGACATCCTAAAAATCACTTAACAATTTAAGCAGGTATGCTTTTCATTTGGATAAAAACTGGAAATGGAGTAGTATCGTGAGAGAACTGTCTTCCTAAGATGTTAAAAAAAGTCCCCAGGTCTATAGTAGATGCAAAATCTGAAATATCTAATCAACTAAGTGTACTCATGAAGTGCGTAATATTCATGCAGATATAAGCAGTGGTTTATTTCTAAGGTTGCTTAAGGAATACAAGTCAGCAATTTAAATTCTCAAATATAAAAGAAAATGTGCTTGAAATCTTTTAAGGCAAGGGTATCTGATGCTACCGAAAACATTTCATATTGGTTCTCAGAAGCAGACCTCAATTAGTCTTTTCTAGTTCAAAGAGGATAGGCCAGAAGTTAGGTATTCTACATAATACAATCTGTTGCTACAAAGTAATATAAGCAGCCACTCATTCAAGAAACCATACATTGTTAGAAATTTCCTTTAGATGACTGAATAAGAACTTTAACCAGGATGAATCAGCACACAAAGAGGAAGACCAAGGTGCACATTGAACTGCTTTCAAAGATAAACCCAGGGTTGACAACAGGACTTTTTTTGATATTTATATACCTGCAACTAAGAAACTGAGGTTTCACCACTAAAGGATGCTACTGCCTGTTTTGTTAAGTAGGCCTCTAAGAATGTTTCAGTGAACAAACACCCGTTTGCTTTGGTCTGAAAATACCATATTTTAAAATAGCTAAGGCAAATATTTAGGGGGGCACAGCTCAATACTGGAAAACTAGCTGGAAGAGGTAGAAGTAAAGCCTTTGCAATGTGCTTTTGTGTAAAGGTAACAAATCTGTGATCTAGGGAAAACACAACTTAAAAATGACTCACTCTTTTATAGGATGTTTAAAGATAATGCTTTTTAATATTTCAAATGTTTTTTTTTTTTTTAAATCTCATCAAAAATGTTGTCACCTTAACAGTACTTTGCACATGTGGAATTTCATACCTAAATTTGAGGATACTATTTTGGTTTATTTATGGCCATTTATAAGAAGACTCACAGTAATAATGTCCATTCATCAGAGTCTTTTTCTTTGGTAGAGCCTAATGGGACCAGGCAGATGAACTGTTACGCAAATAAGATGGATAAAGCAAATCCATGATAGTATGAATTATAAGAGTTTTTGTTTAATGGAAATGAAACTTAAAATGGATTTCCATATTTATCTCCATCATTATTTTGGAAGCTTAATATCCTGTTCAGGGGTTAAAGAGTTTGAATAGCTCACACAATCCTGTAAAAATGACAACTGGCTGCCCTTTAATAAATAAAGTCATTGTAAAGAATTACATTTACAGAGTGAAAAGTGAATACATAGCATTTCAAATTCAATTTTGGAAGTACTAATAAGTACTGACCCATAACAATATACACTAGCTATCTTTTTAACTGTCCATCATTAGCACCAATGAAGATTCAACAAAATTACCTTTATTCCCACATCTCAAAACAATTCTGCAAATTCTTAGTGAAGTTTAACTATAGTCACAGACCTTAAATATTCACATTGTTTTCTATGTCTATTGAAAATAAGTTCACTACTTTTCTGGATAGTCTTTACAAAATCTTATTAAAATTCCTGGTATTATCACCCCAATTATACAGTAGCACAACCACCTTACGTAGTTTTTACATGATAGCTCTGTAGAGGTTTCACATCTAAATTACCAAGAAAACCCTTCCCTCCCTCATCTTGCACTCAGCTTAATTCTATACTAGTCCTTGGATTATGTACCACTGTAAAAGTATAACTGTATCAAAATTGCCATGTTTATGGATACAATATTTTGCCATACAGAGCAACAAAGTTACATATAATGACAAAGATTACCAAAGTTATGCAAGACAAGAACAAATGTTAGGACATGCTACCTAGGCACAGTCCCTACACAAAGAGGCTCCTAAGTACCTCAAGTTCAAATAACATTGACAAAATAATGAACAATTATCTTTAAAAATTATAAAGCTACTGGCAAATTAGGTAATTGCTAAATAAAGGTAGAGCACAAGATTAAACTCTAATATTTACAACTGCAACATACTTGAGTAAAATTACAATTGTGCACATATTAGTGGCTTTGTAACAAAAATAATTCATACAGAGAAGAAATTAAGTTTTCAGTTCAACGGAGGTTGAATCCAACCCATCTCAACTGTACTCAACAACTCAAAGATTTACCACAGAATAAATTCAAGATTAGCTGATAAACAAGAGCCATATTACTGGTGTTTAAGACAAAATCTAAACAAGTTTTAAAATCTAATGTTTGATCAGAAGTCAGATGACTGTGCAAACTTTACCTCAACAGAAATATACGGAGATGTGCAAACAAATGTAAAACCTCCACTCGTGGTTTGCCTGGGAGGCTGACCTTTTCTTTCTTACAGAGCTTCCTGATAACCATAAACTATAAATACAGGTATAATGCACAGTCAGTGCTCTTTTCATTTTTATTTATTGTTAGAATATAAAAGAATTGAGAGAGAATAGGTTTAATTTGTTTTATAAGGAAGACTACATTTACCTGAAAAAGAAATATGGCATCACACACAAACACTTCAGGGGAGGGGTATATTTAAGAATATAGTGTCATTCTGAATGCTAAAGGAAAAGTGATCCCTGTTTAGTGTTAAAATATGTAGTGTAAAATTCTTTAAAGGAAACAACTCACTATATCTCTACTAGGTTAAGTTATTGTGAATTTAGTTTTCTAATCACAGTAATCCACATAACCATTATTAACAGCTCTGTTTCATAGAACTGCAACAAGCCAACAAACATTTAAATGCACTTCACATCAAGAGTATGTAAACTTTATTTTTTCCTCTTCAAGCCTTCAGAAAGTTAGGGGCTATTTCAGCAGCCAATCTGGTCAGAACCTCTGAAGGCAAAATTTCAGTGCCTCACAGTATAAATGACCATCTGTGGCACTGCATATGCATCTGGTAGTGAAGTGTCCCCTATCAGTGGCTTCCAGTAAGGCCTAGAGTTTAAGGTTAACATAAAAAAGTGCCACCTTTGTTTTAGATTAGTGATGGACTCTGACAAGATAAAATAAAGTTATTCTGTATATTGTTATACTTACAAGCAGCTCCAATCCTGAGTATTTATGGTAATATCTAAACATACAAAAATGTATGTACATTTTTCTCCACTTTCTTGTAAACAGTTGTCAGTATACTGTTTTATCCCTTTATCATTGAAACATGCAAATCATACATACAAGTATAAATACACAAAAAAAAACAATTTACACTCATTCAAAAGCCAAGCAACAACAACGGAAAATAGCTACAATATTCAAATCATAAATAACGAATGCTTGAGGCATCTTATATTCCTAGAAGCAGCCAGCCATTCATCCTAATGTTCTTAGCTGCAATTGTAGAAATACTGAGTTTTGCACCTTCCATGCTTTTACAGTATTTATAACACTATCATATGTGGAGATAAAGACTTGTTTACTATAATCTCTTCTTTTCAGAATGAAGAATAAAGCAGCACTTACAAATATTGAAGCAGTGGCAGCAACGGCAGGTGTTGCCACTGCTAGATCAGGAGGAATTTTTCCATTCTAACAATTTTTAAACTAAAAAAGTAAAGGAAAAATTGACCTAAACAAATTATTACATGTTCATTCCTTGGGCACTTAACAGCGAGTCCAGCATGTCGAATGTGTCTTTGTAGTCCATATGCTGGCTGCTTGTACTGTACTCGTGATTGGCATCAGGACCGTTGGTCTCCACTGGCTTCTTGTCCAGTTTCACGAGGGTGCTGAGATGTCCGTAGCCCACCTGGTATGTGACAGGGGGAGGAGGGGGTAAGGGATGGTTAAAAACAGAGTTGTGAGAGGATATATACTGCTTAACAGAGGAGGAAGAACTAGATGAACTACCTGAACTTTTGGAACTTTTGCTCATTTTGGAGTGGTGGTTGTGGGATGCATCATTGACATGTAGCCTCTTCCTGGAAGAGCTGGAGCTAGAGGAAATGCCATCACTGCTCAGGCCAACAGGACTCCTCAGAACAGTGGGTGGTATTCCATCAGCACTGTGTTTACTGCCACCGCTGCCGCCACCACTATGTGAGTGGGAATGCTTGTGACTGCTGGTGTGGTGGCGGTTTGAGGGATGCTCCTTGTGCTTCTCCTTATAGTCTCTGCTAATATGTGGGCTTGAATGCTTGCTCTTCCCACTGCCTTCATCAGAAGAGCTGTGTCTTTCTGAAGAGGAAACTTTTATTTTCATTTTCAGTTCTTCTTTACTGGCGCTTTTATCAGTGGGTGGTATTGGAATCCGTAATTTCAGTGATCCACTCTTTTCCTTTTTATCTGCCATGTATTTTTCAGTATTTGCAATGGGTATTTTCATTTTAATGGGAGAAGTTACAGAACTGCTGCTGGCTGCCTGTGACTGCCCTTGTTTGTGCTGCTGTTCTACCTGGGCAGCTATATAATGATCCCTTACATCAAGATCAAGAGTTTCTAGTTTACGCTTTTCTCTATATTTATCTAAAGACATTTTCTGAGGAACTATTCCTGGAGTAGCAGAAATTGGCCCATGGTGTTTACTGCTCCCTGCTTTATGAGTATATTCTTGCTTAGAAGAATGATCTGAAATTTTGTCAGGTCTGTGATGTAATCCTGAATGCAGTGATACAGAAGGTCCCTGCTGGAAGTTGATGTTGTACTGGCTACCAGACAAAGATGTCTCCTGTTTCTGTGAATACATCTGTTCTGTCCTTGCTGAGTCTTGATGTTGAGGCCATTCCTGGTGTGATGACAAACTGTATGAAGTACTTGGCATTCCTGTTGCTAGCATTGACAAATTATCAGATGTATGGCTGTCTTGAACAGAAATATTTCCTGAATTTAGAGGTACTGGCGCAGGGAATGCTGATGTAGATGGTTTCTGAAAACTTGGGTTTGTAGGCACACCAGTGACACTATCTACTAAGATGGAATTCTGGACCAAAGATGAACCAAGAAGTGGTGTCTCTGATACCTGTCCATCTACTTTTGGTTTCTTAGCCGCTGCCTGACTAGCCTATTAAAATAAAACATAGAAGAAGCAGTGATATAGCAAAATAATTTAATGCAAATTGCTTGTCCTATAAAAGTTATATACTAAAAACATTATATATTTAACATATGGAAATAAAATGACTTGGGGTTCACGGTTTTATGTTGCCAGTAAATAAATGCCTTATTTAGAGGTATAGAAGGAAACTATAAAAAATTGAAAACACCAAGGCCGGGCGCGGTGGCTCACGCCTGTAATCCCAGCACTTTGGGAGGCCGAGGCGGGTGGATCACGAGGTCAAGAGATCAAGACCATCCTGGTCAACATGGTGAAACCCTGTCTCTACTAAAACTACAAAAAATTAGCTGGGCATGGTGGCACGTGCCTGTAATCCCAGCTACTCAGGAGGCTGAGGCAGGAGAATTGCCTGAACCCGGGAGGCGGAGGTTGCGGTGAGCCGAGATCGCGCCATTGCACTCCAGCCTGGGTAACAAGAGTGAAACTCCGTCTCAAAAAAAAAAAAAAAAAAAAAATTGAAAACACCAACTTTAGAATTAGATACAAGTCAAATCCTAGCCTAGCACTTGAGGAAGTAATTTAACTTGTCTAGGCTTCAGTTTCCCCATATGTAAAATTAAGAGGTTATTTCTGTCATAAACACTGCAAAAATGTTTTTAAAAATATAACATGCTTTTTAGCAAAGTCTCCTGGACTCTGTAGTTGAATATGTGAGTATATGTAACTTGAGATACACTGTATTATTCAGCAATACTGTAAAGATTATTTAATCACAACAATTCAAAATGGTTAGCTGGTTAGCTAGGTACATGTTATATAAATGACAGACTGACGTTCTGTCTGTCAATTCTCTTACCCTCCAGTTTCGAATCTTCTTCAACCTACTAGGTGTTTTCTCCAATATTTGTAGAAACTCATGTGTTAGCTCTAAAAAGAAAATTTAAATTTAAAACTTAGGAAATGTCTTTAGGATATAAATTTCTCTTAAGTGGGCAGTGTTAAAAAGGAATGCTAGGAGTTCATCTACTTCACTTTTACCCTCCTATTCAACCCTCAGCATATACAGAAGTACACACAACTCTCAACCGGCATTTTCAAAGCTGAATCCTTTGTAACAATTACCTTCCCCCATGATTTTACTTGCTTAATTAGAATCTCTAGAAAATCTAGCAGCATTAAAAATAATCCCTCCCTCCAATAAAAAAATCTTTATTAAGCAAACAACATAGTAATTTTTGTTGCAGGCAAGATCAATGGATTCTTTAAAATTAGTGAACAAAAGTTTGAGGAAAAAGTTATTTGTATAATCCCAAAATATCTTCCCCAAGAAATGTATTAATTACATAAAGAAAAAAAATACTTAAAGTACAGAAACCACCTTAAGGATACCATTGTAACCAAGTGATGATGGTTGACATTACCAGTTACAAGACCTATCAACATATTGTACCCCTTGATATCATGCACCAAGCAAGACCCAACCTAGTTCTAATAATGAGAAATCATCAGACCTCAACTAAGGAACACTGTATAAAATGACCATTATTTTTCTAGGTGTCAATGTTATGAAAGACAAGGAAATAATGAAGAACTGTCACAGACTGGAGGAGACTTAAAGAGACATGTCAACTAAATGGAACATGGGATCCTAGAACAGGGACAAATACAGAATACTGAATAAAATCTGTGGTTTAGCTAACAGTATTGTACCAGTGCTAATTTCCTAGTTTTGATAATCATATATTGTTATATAAGATGTTAGTATAAGGAGAAGCTAAAGGGTATACAGAGAACTCTGCACTATATTGTATTTTTTTGGTTTTCTTTTTTTTTGTTAAATAATAGAGATGGGGTCTCACTATGTTGACCAGGCTGATCTCATACTCCTGGTCTCAAGTGATCCTCCCATCTCCACCTCCCAAAGTGCTGGGATTACAGGTGTGAGCCACCATGCCTAGGCTTTTTTTTTTAAAATAAAAAAAGGAGGGCCGGGTACGGTGGCTCAAGCCTGTAATCCCAGCACTTTGGGAGGCCGAGGCGGGTGGATCACGAGGTCAAGAGATCGAGACCATCCTGGTCAACATGGTGAAACCTCGTCTCTACTAAAACTACAAAAAATCAGCTGGGCATGGTGGCGCGTGCCTGTAATCCCAGCTACTCAGGAGGCTGAGGCAGGAGAACTGCCTGAACCCAGGAGGCGGAGGTTGCGGTGAGCTGAGATCGCGCCATTGCACTCCAGCCTGGGTAACAAGAGCGAAACTCCGTCTCAAAGAAAAAAAAAATAAAAAAAGGAAAATTTCTTCAACTATATTTACACTTCTTAGCAATAACACTACTAATATAGTAGCCAACTATCTTGATTGTAATTTTCTATCAATTTTCTTAAAATTTTGATCACAATGAAATAACCCACCTTTCCAAAGTAGTGTGATTTTGATGAATTATAGTTTTATCCCCCAAAATACTGTCATTATTAGTTACTGGCCACTCTCAAATATTCACCAGTCAAATAAATTAGAATACTATATAATATTAATAATGCCAATTCAATCTCAATACTGGGGGAAACTATATCAGTAAAGACTACAGATTCATTTTTTATCATTTATGTTTGTTGTGGTATTGATAGTGCAGTGGCACGATTTCGGCTCACTGGAACCTCTGCCTCCTGAGCTCAAGCAATTCTTCTGCCTGTGCCTCCGGAGTAGCTGGGATTACAGGTGCCTGCCGCCATGCCCAGCTAATTTTTTGTATTTTTAGTAGAAACGGGGTTTCATCATGTTGGCCAGGCTGGTCTTGAACTCCTGACCTTGTGATCCACCCGCCTCAGCCTCCCAAAGTGCTAGTATTACAGGTGTGAGCCACCGCGCCCAGCAGATTCATTTTTTAATAGCAAGTTTCTTTGTAAACTATTCTAAGCCAATGCTAAGATCAGACAAACTATAATTAATCTTTCAAGATGTAATTTCCATGACAATGTCATGACTATTCCCTGCTAAAGTCTCATGAGCTTTTTCACCCAGTCTGGATGAAAAGAAAACCTAATGCCCAGACCACTTCCTCATTTGAAAAAAAAAAAGAGAGACTACTTTTCTACTTTTGGGTTGAACATTAACAAAACTGTTTTGACTCAATTTCTGTAACAGCTTGGTTGTAAAACATTAAATGCATTTAAAGTTCCTCGTCCAAAACCTAGTACACAAAATGTAAGTTTTGTTTTTCTTAAGTATCCTATGTATTAAATTTTATAGCAGAACAAAACAATCTGTTCAATAATCCATTAAATTAATTAATTAGCTATATGCATAAAAATCACGGTATGTGCCTAACATAGAGGCCCTTCTCTCTCAAAGCTACTGTCTAAGCCAATGTTCTTTTGTGGAACATAGTTATTAAGCGAATTATTTTAGTAAATAAGAATACTTATATCACTTTAGACATCACTCTACAATTCAGATAAATCTTCATGTCTTTTTTTTAAGACAGGGTTTCCTCTGTTGCCCAGGCTGCAGTGGCATTATCACAGTCTCAGGTGATCCTACCACCATAGCCTCCATAGTAGCTGGGTCTATAGGAGTGTGCCCCCACACCTGGGTGTGTGTGTGTGTGTGTATTTAGTAAAAACGAGATTTTGCCATGTTGCTCAGGCTGTGCCCCCACATCCGCGTGTGTGTGTGTGTGTGTGTGTGTGTATTTAGTAAAAATGAGATTTTGCCATGTTGCTCAGGCTGTGCCCCTACACCCGGGTGTGTGTGTGTGTGTGTGTGTGTGTGTGTGTGTGTGTGTGTGTGTATTTAGTAAAAACGAGATTTTGCCATGTTGCTCAGGCTGGGCTCAAACTCCTATGTTCAACAGACGTGCGTTCCTGTGTTCAAGAGACGTGCGTGACTACACCTGGCCACATCTTCATATCTTAAATTTTGAGCACCTTTTTTGTGATCTACACAGAAAAAAGATGTGGTGGCTTATGCCTACAATCCCACTTTGGGAGGCCGAGGAGGGTGGATCACGAGATCAGGAATTCAAGACTAGCCTGGCTAACATGGTGAAACCCTATGTCTACTAAAATATAAAAATTATCCAGGTGTGGTGGTAAACACCTGTGATCCCAGCTATTTGGGAGGCTGGGGCAGAGAACTGCTTGAACCCAGGAGGCAGAGGTTGCAGTGAGCTGAGATTGCGCCACTGCACTCCAGCCCGGGCAACAGAGCAAGACTCTCTGTCTCTTAAAAAAAAAAAAAAAGGAAGAAAAAAAAAGCTGCTGCAAATCATGCTGAAAGTTTTAATATATCAGGTCTCCAAGATTCCTATTCAACTGTTCTCCAAATTAATAATAAACCTTAGGTTTTTTACAATGGAAGTGAGGTAGATCCTGCTGTGTCAAAAAACCCCACATAAACCACAACCTAACCTCTGACCTAAAGACAGGATAAAAGGCAGATTACTTTTTTGTAATCTTTTTACTTTAGCACCAGGTGCTAAAGTATAATACTAAGCTATTTTTAATAAAAATTTTTATTAGAAATAATAACAAAAAATAGTTTGTTTTTTTTTTTTTTTTTTAATAAAGAACTATTTTTATTAAGATTATGCCTACTGGCCAGGCGCAATAACTCATGCCTGTAATCCCAGCACTCTGGGAGGCCAAAGCAGGTGGATCACGAGGTCAGGAGTTCAAAACTAGTCTGGCCAAGATGGTGAAACCCCGCCTCTACTAAAAATACAAAAATTAGCTAGGCGTGGTGGCAGGCACCTGTACTGCCAGCTACTCAGGAGGCCGAGGCAGAGAACTGCTTGAACTTGGGAGAAAGAGGTTGCAGTGAGCTGAGATGGCATTACTGCACTCCAGCTTGGGCAATAGAGCAAGACTCAGTCTCCAAAAAAAAAAAAAAGATTATGCCTACCTAATCTTAATCTGGTGACTATTAAGCTACAACAATGACCTAGATAACCTAGTTTTCAAGCTACAGAACAGATACAAACAATTAAAAAGAAGCCCCATTGAGTTTTAAATGTCATTTCAACTCACTGAAGATTTCCTTCTCTCTGGATAAATTCCGAAAAAGCCTCAAACAATTTAAAAAAAACATTATAATCATTCGGCAATAACACAGCATGAGAAGTATATTCGGGGATTTTTTTTCCAGGTGGAGAACAAAATAGAAAATAAAGGGGTGTAACAAAGAAGGATTTCACAAGTAAGAATAGGCAAACCATGAATAACTGGCCAAGTATGGTTGGTCACCTATTTTTGTCAACAAAGTTTTAGTGTAACACAGCCACACCCATTCATTTACAAATTGCCTATGGTTGCTTTCCAGCTGCAATGGTATAGTTGTGCAGTTGCAACAGAGACCTTACAGCCCACAAACTCTAAAATAGTGTTACTCTTTGCAGACCCCTATGTTAAAGAAACATCAAGTGGGCATGGAGGCTAAAACCTGAAATCCCAGCACTTTGGGAGGCTAAGGCAGGTGGACTGTGAAACTCTGTGTCTACTAAAAATACAAAAATTAGCTGGGCGTGGTCGTACACGCCTGTGGTCTCAGTTCCTCAGGAGGGTGAAGCACAAGAATTGCTTGAACCCAGGAGGAAGAGGCTGCAGTGAGCCAAGATTGCACCATTGTGCTCCAGCCTGGGGGAGAGAGCAAGCATCCATCTCACGAAACAAAAAAAACAAAAAAGCAAAAACAGAAACAGGCCAAGTACAATGGCTCAAGCCTGTAATCCCAGTAGTTTGGGAGGACAAGGTGGGCAGGTCATGTGAGGTATGGAGTTCAAGACCAGGCTGGCCAACATGGCCAAACCACATCTCTACTAAAAACATATAAATTAGTTGGTTGTGGTGGCTTGTGCCTGTAATCCCAGCGACTTGGGAGGCTGAGGCAGGAGAATCACTTGAACTCAGGAGGTAGAGGTTGCAGTGAGCCAAGACTGCACCACTGCACTCCAGCCTCAGCAACAGAGTGAGACTGTCTCAAACACACACAAACACCCACCCACTCAGAGTTAAAAAAAGAAGTGTTATCTATTTTCTTTCTGAAATCTACAGTAAGTGGTTAAAATGCCCTAATCCCAAGAATCTCTCCCATCTCTGGCCAGCTTCTTTTACTTTTCAACCAGAGGAATTTCTCATCAACACATCCCCAAAATTCTACGTTCATAATTAACAGAACACATATGTACAATTTTTCCTTGTGTATTCACGTTTAACAATGTAAGGCAACAATTGTAATACAGAGCAAGAAACACAATCCCCTGAAAATCCCTTTAGTTTACTGCTTCACAGTTAACACTCAATTTTCAGTCTACACATTTAAAACTCAACAGAATTAATATACATTAAATTGCTATTCTTGTTAGCTTATGGAATTCTAAACCTTATTTATTTTAAGTCCCGAAAAAGCTTTAGATGTTCAGTGGTGGTTAATACATACCCAGGCTGTAGCGAAGCAGTGCCTTCAAGGCTTGACAGCCTTGACCTCCTGGACTCAAGCTATCATCCTGCCTCAGCCTACGAGTAGCTGAGACTATAGGCTAGCACCACCACACTCAGTCCATTTAAAAAATTTTTTTTTTTTTTTTTTTGGTAGAGACTGGGTCTATGTTGCCCAGCCTGGTCTTGCACTCCTGGGCCCAAGTGATCCTCCTGCCTCAGCCGCCCACTGAGTGCTGGGATTACAAGTATGAGCACAAATTCTAAACTCAATTTTTTTTCTTTAGATTGATGAATTCTTATTTTCATCCTGTTCATTTGACAGTATACTCACACTTTCTCTTGTCAATTCTGACAACTGCCAACTTAGATTTCCAAATTGTTAAAATGTAATTATTCTTAAAAATTAAAAAAAAAAAAAAAAAAAGTAATTATTCTTATGCTTTTAGAGTCCTTATCTTTTGAAATACAAACTAAAATATTAAGAGATGTCAGGCTGGGTGCAGTGGCTCATGCCTGTAATCCCAGCACTTTGGGAGACCGAGGCAGGTCAATCTCGAGGTCAGAAGTGAGACCAGCCTGATCAATATGGTGAAACCACGCCTCTATTAAAAATACAAAATTAGCTGGGTATGGTGGCACACGCCTGTAATCCCAGCTACTCGGGAGGCTACGGCAGGAGAATTGCTTGAACCCAGGAGGCGGGGGCTGCAGTGAGCCGAGATGGTACCACTGCACTCCAGCCTGGGCAACAGACTCTATCTCAAGAGATGCCATGATATCTGGAATTAGCATCATAGCATCACTATAACTATGGTGTGTAAATGTGTGTGATGAATGGCCAGAAATGATAACTGTTCATTTAGTTAGGCAATGAACATATGGGAATATAATTTTTCAAACCTATACAGAGGTAAGACAGAATTTTTCCATAAAAAATTTATTTTCTATCAAGTGTACTGACCAGAAATGAAAAAAAAATATTTTCTCTACTTACCATCTAATAATTCTAGAGTCACTGTAGGATCCACATATTCCCACCAATGCTTTCCATCAGTTGACACGGGAATCTCCCAATTGGACCATTTGCAAGCCAAATGAATGCATACACATGCTATCACTGTTGGTTTGTACTGAAGACAGAAGGTTGTAAGATGCAGACTGTTGCAGAGCAGGTTTGAAAATGGAGAGCCATACAAATTCAAGTATGTAAAACAAAGAAAAACATTTACCAGTAAGATTAGAGCCAAATTTAAATTAGATTTTTCTTTAATTCTAGAGTATAAAACCTTATTTTATTAAATTAAAAGCTAAGTTATAAAACTCTAGTACTAAAAAGTCTACATATAATGAACATTCCCTCTCACTTACTCCCAAGAGTATTTTAATACTCCTATTACTATTTAAAATTTTGTTTTACACCTAAAATTGAAGTATTTTATAAAAGGAGAGGAGGATAGTATATTTGCAATAATCACTACTATACAGATGTATAAAATTATAAATTGTTTGTGGTATTTTTCTTTTGTAATGTCATGGTAAATATGTCAATGTAAAGAAAAAGACTATTTGTAAAACTGACAGTGATTTCAACATCACAATAATCAGGGATTATCCCATCAGATGTGGCTTAATAGGCATTTGCTTTCTCTAGTGAAGCAGAGAGAATTAAACACATATCTATGTAAACCTATGCCTTGTTTTTCAGCAAAGCCACAAAGAAAACTTACCTTTTGCCAAACAGCTTCAAGGCCCAATGTTATTAAATATGCAAAAATACTACCTTTCTCCTTCCACCACACACCAAATGTGGGGAATGTAATATGTGTCACAGCTAGCCTTTTCTAATCAAAGTTTTAAATTTAAGTCTTTTTATGTTGTTGCTCAGAATTACTGGGGATAGAGGTTATATCCCAACAACATATATTTAAGAAAATATAGCAGTATTTGCCAATCTCAAATTGTAAATTAAACTTATTAGTGTCACAAGAAATTAGGGACCATACAAAGCTGGTCTGGTCCCTTCTCCCCAATGACAAACTCAAAAAAACAAAAACAAAAAACAAAACACACACACACACACAACAAAAAAAAAACAAAAAACAAACTTAAATCATTAATAAAATAAATCTAGAACAGAACTGTATGTTAAAGCCTCCTTAAAACTATTCTTCCAGTTCAGTTTCAATGATGGAAATGTTATCTGAGCAGCCATAAACATATACCATTTTTTACTCTATGTAAACTGAAAAGGAAGGTTTTTTTTTGT